ATCATCTTTTAATAATTATTTTTTCCGGACATAGATTAATTTATAATAATTTGTTAAATTAAATAATTTTTAAAATAATTTTTAAAATAAATATTTAATTATTTTTAATAATGAAAAAATTGTTTTAATATAAGAATTTTAATTAAATAATAGAAGAAAAAAAGATAAAAAGAATAAATTAAAATAAAATAAAAATAAATAAAGAAAACAATTAATTTATATCATTATATAAATAAATTATAAAGATTATATTCTATCATTAAATTACAAATTCATATAAAGAGACCCGCTCACAAATTTGACATCAAATTTTGAAAACTCACTCGACACACACTTTCACCATCTAGCGTGACCTCGACATTGAACATATAAATATATCAAAATATATAAATATATTTGTATTTATATATTTTATATTTATATATTTACACGGATATACATTTATTTGTAAATTTTTATTAGAAAATTCTAACAGTTTAGTGGTTGGAGTATTAGTATCTAACTCTAAGGTACTGGTTTTGAATCTTATTAGTGATAATTTTCTTAATCTGATAAAAAAAACTTTGTTAATAAGAGAAATTATATATTTTTGTGGTAAGACGATGAGATTTTTAGGTTAAACTAAAATTAGGGCAACTAAGTTGTTGTTATGGACTAAAACCCAAAAAGTAAAAAATAAAAAATATAATTAAATAAAAGAAAAAATATATACTTTTGCATTTTTATTTTCAAATATTAGTTTTTTTATGAAATTATTTTTAATTAAAATAATTAAAGTGATATATATATATATATATATATAATTTTTTAATTTTAATTTATTAATATTATCAAATTTTAGCTTCATGACTACAAAAATACCAATAATTTAAATTTTATTAATTCTATAATTTTATATAATTATTATTATAAATTTAATTCTCCAATAACTAATAATATTAACACATTTATTAAATTAAAATTATTTATTTTAATTAATTATTTTGATTTTTTTAACAACTTTTTTTAAATAAAAACGATAAAACTTAAAATTAATTTCTAACTAAATCTTCACAGATTTATGGTTAATAGTATATTATATTATTATGTTTAATTAAATTTTAAAATAAGTTCACTTAAGCTTTACACTTTTATAAAAATACTAATATAAACTTAAAATATTTATCCAATTATTAAATTATTTAAGATATTAATATAAATTTGAAATATCAATTCAATAATTAAAATAATTTTAATTTTTTTATAAATACATTGAAATACATTTTTATTAACATAAAAGTAATATATATATATATATATATATATATATATATATATATATATCAAAAAGAGACTAAATTAATAATTAATTTAATCAGGGATTATATATATAAAAGAGACTAAATTAATAATTACTTTAATGATTCGATTTAGTGATGGAATCAGTGATCGATTAGGTGACTAATTTAATAATTAATTTTAATTTTTTTATTCTCATACTAAATTAAAAAATAAAATCAAATAATTATATTACTAAATTATTTAATAAGTTAATAAACTATTTTTTAAAATTTTTATGATATTATTAAATTTTTTATCAATTATTTTAAATTATTAAGTAGATTTATATTTAATATATTATTAAAATATTTTTAAAAAATATTTATATAAATAAAAAATGGTCACTAATTTATAGATTATTTGTTTAGTGACTAAAATTTTAGTCACTAAATCAGTTACTAAATATAAAAAGAGAAATCGATCAACGATTCGATTACTTATTAGTAATCGAATTTTTTGGTCACTAATTTCGATCATCGTTAACCATTTTTCTAGTAGTGACCGAATCGATTGACCGATTTCGTGATCTGAAATTTTAGTCACTAAATCGGTCACTAAATATAAAATGGAAATCGATCACTAATTCGAGTTACTATCGGTGATCGAATTTTTCAGTCACTAATTTCGGTCACTATTAACCATTTTTCTAGTAGTGTTAGTTACTTAGCCAAATAGCCTACCCTTACCTTAAATTACCCTTTGAACTCACCTTTGAGCCTTAGCCTTTTCTTGAATTTAAACCCAAGATTTAAATCCTTTCCAACCCAAAAAAAACTCACACCCAGACTTAAAGGGAAGTAAGAAGCGTGGAATCATCACAAAAATCCAATTCTACTCACCGTCAACAAGTCCAAAAAAGAAGAAGTGCCAAAGTATCAAGAAAAAGAAAAAGAACAAAAAAATCATTTTGTTTGTGTGTCAAAGCCATAAAAGAGCTCTAAAAGCACTCTAACATAAAGGTGACAAAACAGAAAGATGCAATCAAAATAAATTTTCACGGTACATTGATCCATGTTCTTTATTTTCCTAAAGTCTTAGCGTACTTTCCTAAAATTGCCTACCCTGAACCTTAGCCTCATTACAAACCAAGTAAAAGTCCTATTGATCTACGAAGGTATGTGTTCTAATGGTGAAAATTTAGAGATCTTTCAAGCCTATGGTAAAAGATGATGTCATGATGAGTGAAATTTTTAGCATAAACACTTGAGAGATTAGAATAAACACTTTACCACGAGAGGATGCTCCCATGAAATGAGTCATAGAATCCTTAAAGAGTATTTGACCATGATAATATTTTGTGAGTTATGATCTTGATCTTTTTCATTCTATCACTTTTGGTTGATGAAATTTTCCTTGACTATTGTAGTTTTCAAGATGTCAATAACGTTTGCAACATTATCCATCTTCGTATTGCATGCATTCTTTTATTTTCTTTCTTTTATCTTTTGTTTGGAAGTGCAAAAGAGAAAAAGTGATGAGTATTTTATGTATGTCATTTTACTCTTTATTTCTTGATCTAAGAGTATTTTCTAAGTTAATTATTTTATTCATAATCCATGCATTTAAAACATGTTTTCATTAAAAACATAGCATAATTCATTTTTTCTTAATTTGTTGTATTTTACGTAGTTTTAACATAATAAATAATATACATGCATACATTCACATTGCATATTCCTTTTTCTTCTTTTATAGGAGATGTAATTTGAGATAGACCAAATTGATATAAAAAAATGTCCAAATTGATACCGTCAAGCTTCACTTTTCTTGAAAGCCCAAGTTTCCTTGTGCAGCCCACTTGCGTAATGTTACAAATGGAAATTTTATATCAAGCAAATTAACTAGTGTAGGAATCCAATTTAACTTAATTAAAGGCCACTAGGAAATCAAGAAATAAATACAAATCAGTGTTAGATCACTCAAAATAGGAAAGAAGTAAACTATTTTCTCCAAATCAATCCTAGAAATTTCTCTTCACAACAACTAGATTTTGCAATTATTTATTGAGAAATATTTGATTTTATTGTAATTAATTTTAGACTTAATTTCTCTTGTTCAAACCCCTATAAATAAAGGTCTTACGACAACCCACAATCATAATCTCCTAACCTGGGGTGAAAATTGTTATTTTGTCTCGTCCCCATTTTTCTTTCCTACTCTCAATTCGTAGTTTAGTTAGGTGAGTTCATCTATTACTGCACTTCTAGTTTGTTTTCTTTTATTTAATTTGCAATTTCTATTGAATTTTCTAATTTATCTTGCTCTAGTTATTTTATTTATTCAAGTACTCATTTTAATTTTTGTTATTTAATTGTTTAGAATTTTTATTATTGCATAATTTTCATTTTCAATTTGTCTCGTTTCCAATTCTAATTCGCAATTTAGTTTTAGAGTTATCACTTTTAGAAATTTCAAATTTAATTAGTGCACTATTTTATTTTAAAGCAATTATTGATTCTTGCACTTTTAATTAAAAACACTTTATTTTAATTTTATGAATTTTAGTTATTTAAATCCTGTATCAATTTAATTTTAATTACTTGTACTATTTTGTTTTTAAACAATTTTTTATTCTGTACTTTTAATTAAAAGTACTTTATCTTAATTTTATAAATTTCAGTTATTTAAATTCTGTTTCTGTTTAATTTTAATTATCGTCAATTTTTTATAACAATTTAATTTTAATTTTTATTATTTTGCATCAATTTATTTATTTTTTACTATTTCATTCATCCCTATTTATTGTTATTTATTGTTTTAGAAATAATAATATGTGATAATGAGTATATTCCTATAATTATATATTTATTAAATTTGATATTATATTATATTAATTTAACAACTTATTTATTATTTTTTATTAGTATTTTGTGTGACCAATTATCATTACTCTTGATAGCTATTTTGAAAAACAAAAGATTTAATACCCATACTAACAATTGTATTATCTGTCACCTTTCTCATTCATATATCTTAAAAAGGTGCTCACTTTTTTTATTTTCATATATATTCAAATAGGCCAACTCAGAAAAGTATTAAATTTTGTTATTTTCATATATTCTTTTAACTTTATCTCTTCATCTAAAATACTCATTATATTTTTCTTATAATAAATATAATTAAAAAATGATAATATAATCTGAAACTTTATAAATTATATATATATATATATATATATATATATATATATATATATATATATATAATCTTTTCTAAAATATTAATAATTTAAAAAAAAGAGTGTTAAATACGAGATCGAGATAACATCCTCTGCTGCACGTAACTCACTGGTGCATTCGCCAGTTGTCTTGTGTTATGCAATTCAATATCCTCCATTCTTTTTTCTAAATTCTAAAATCTGATCAATAATATTTTTCGTGAAAGAAAAAACTAATAATAGAGAAAAATATATAAACCAGATAATCTGAAAATCTATGCCCAACATTGGCATGATAATGACATAGACAGAAATTTACATGGCTATAAATCAATCGTACGAGTGAAAGATATCATTCAATAATTGTCTTCTTGGTTGTAATGGGTTGCATGAATTTTATTTCTTTTTTTCGTTTCATTCACATGTATTGGTTTCACGATGACGAAGACTATTGTTTGTGATGTTATAATTGTAATTAAGATTAATTTTCACAACATATATGTGATGTATTTTGTTTCAAGTTTCAAGCATGCTTGACGAGGGAAATGACCAAATTGATGTACTTGGTGCTAGTGTTGGATAAATGGTCTTCCACAATTTGTGAGTACCTGCGGAAAAGCTCATCCATTGTGTGAGAGCCAAAATGAGATTCCAACATGGACTCAACCACAGCCCTAATGGTCCTCGCAACTCGTTCTCCTCTTGACAACGATGGAGCATTTGGAGAATCACTTTCAATTTCCATTCCTCCATCCCACTCTATTTCATAAGCTTCGTGCTCTTCCACCATGAATGACCCTTCCTTTTCAATCTCCTTTTTCACTTCCTCCATGCATGGTGCGTAGTATGGGGCATCAAAAGAATCCACCTTTTCCTCTTCCAAAATACCCTACATATTCCACAACATTTTTTCTCATAAAACTTTGACAAATACACACACACGTGCATGGATTATCTTAAACCATGTGTATTAAAAGTATTAAAAGTAATCTTACAGCAAAATTTTAACCTATAGGTAATTAAGATGAAGCAAATTTAAGTTTGTAACCAATAAATTTGAAACTCGCGATTTGACATTTTTCCTTTTGTGCAAGGAAGTCATGGATTTTAGGTGAGGTATTATTGCATCGGGCCCCATAAGCAGAAACATGGTACTATGTCTTAACCATTCATTAGTTTCAACGAAATGCCAGCATTTTGCTTAGAATTCATCAATTTTTTTTATCTATTAATTGCCTACTTGACCATGACAGCATGTTTCTGCTTAGAATTCATGTTATTATATAGCATATATACTTATATGTTTATATAAATAAGATATTGCATAGCTAAATTGCTCATATTAAAAGTATATTATAATTAAAGTATTTTTTTATTGATGAAATTTTAAATCTATATATACAATATATATTCTTTTAATTTTAATTTTAAATTAAAATTGGTAGTATTCTCATCAATCACAGATTTTAATTATTTGTATCCAACATGGATTTAAATTGGAATATGTATTACCCATAATAATATGTCAAATTAATTATTTTTATAATATATATATCGATAACATATTTATTCTTAAAAACGAGTACTATGTAAAAAAAAAAAAAGATTACGGGATTTTTTAACAAAATTCACTTCTTTTTTAGAACAAAATGTTTTATTAAGTTATAGCTTGATTTTCTTTTTATATATATATATATATATATATATATATATATATATATATATATATATATATATATATATATATATATATATATATATATATATATATATATATATATTAAAAATCAAAACAAGTTAAAGTCGTCGTAAAACTAAATGACTGTACCAAACTTTACCAAAAGTTATCCTCAAGACAGAGGGTATATTAAATGAGTGTACTAAATCTTTTAAGTGAAGAAAATAAGCCATTTATTGCGAAAGGAGGGTAAAATGAGAAATTATAAAAATAAGAAAGTAAAAATTGAAAGAGAAAATGGTAATTAAGCGTTAATGGAAAGGAAAGTCAGGAGATCATGTTATATATAAAATATAAATAATAATAATAATATTAATATTAATAATTATTTTAATAATAAAATTATAATAATTATAATTATATATATAAAAATAATTATAATAATAATAATCATATTAATAATTAAAAATAATTTAAATAATTATAATATTTTTAATTATAATAATAATTATAACAATAAATATATAAAATAATTATTATATTAATAATAATAATAATTTTAATAATAATTAAAACAATTAAAATATTTTAAATAATAATAATAATAATTTTTATTTAATTATAATTTAATTATTTTAAAAAAATTATTAAAATAATTTTTATCAATTACAAATTTCTATAAAATTTATTCTCATTTCTCTACATTTCTAAGTATCCTTTTCTTAATCCAAACAATCTCACGTTCACCTATCTTTACCTCAAATCTATTATTTTTTTACTCCCTCAAATCCATTGTATAATCCAAACATACCCTAAATTTGATAGAGTGTGATGAAATGTATGAAAAAAGATTTTCCAATTTAATAAACATTCTCGAGATAGATAATTATAATGGATTAGTTAACCTATTCGATATAATATTTTTAAACACACCAGTCAGTTTTGAAATAGTAGAACTCTATTTTTACTTGAAATAAATTAAAAAATGTTAAATATAAAGATATGAAAATGACCTGATGAAACAAGAAAAAAGAGTACAAACATGAGAAAAACGTCCTTAACCTCAATCCAAATATAAGCTTAAAGAAAGTTTTATGAAAGAAGAATAAGAAGAAATTAAATTAGTAAGAATAAAATTTTAACGCACCTCAGAAACCATGGTCATAAGGGAGCGAGCTAAGAGTTCCCACTGAAAGCAACAATGGTCGGAAGTTGGGTCCATGGATGTTCTGCCCATGAAAGACAAGACCATGTGTCCCCCAGTTACCATTTCTTGGGAACGAGAAGCCAAAAACAATGAAAAATCATTCTTGAATTGCTGAGAATAAGCATCCTGCACGCACTTAGGACTGCTCTTTGAAATGTAGATCTTTCCTTTGTTCAATGCTCTCCCACTACCATCCTCTAATCCACCAGGAACCTTGCACCCCAACAACGACAATCTTTACTTTCATATGCATGTGTCAAAACATGTCCTACTTTCTTCATCTTTATAAGCACATGAAAAATGAAAATGGGTTTCTCTCTCACATTGATTCTTTTTTTTTTCTTTTTTTTTTTTGGGCATAATTCCTTCATTTCCCAGTTTATGTCACTTCACTGTATTCGAAAAATATAGAAATAACTAAAATTAAAAGCCCCATCTCTTTATATTTTTACTTTGCTTTATATTAGATACAATTTCAACCAAAGGATGGGATTCCTTTATGTATAATATAAGAGAATTTTTATAAATTGCCTATGGTTAATCTAATTTTATCTATTACAAATAATCATGTTAGTAGATTATTACATTTTAGTATAATTACTTGAAAACACATTAAAATTATTTTTAATTGATTGACAACATAAATTTTTTATATTAACATTTATAAAAGTGAAACTAATATCCCTCACTTCAAAAGGGAATTTTAACACTTTTCTGTGTCTTTTCGTAACTGTTTTTTAAAGACAAATGTTCTCTTGAGGACAATTGTGCTTTAGTTTAACGGAATCAACTGTTATATAGTTAGAGCGAAGTAAATTTAACTAGTTGATTTATGTTATCAGTGGTTTCTTTTCTCAGTTGTTTAAGTTTTGTTCTAAAACTTAACTACGTATATATGTGTATAGTGTGTGTATATGTGTATACCTGAGAAAGCCAGTGGAGGCTGGAAGAAGAGTGCACAAAGTGGAGGGTCTTGGTTGGAAAAAGCCTACCATAGAAGGTGCCAGGGACAGCTGAAACAAAACATGATCCAAACCCACTTCCCTTTTCTTGTCTTTGCTTTCTGTAGAAAGATGGCAATGAGGCAAAGATGTTGTTGAAGTCATTTGTGAAGAGATCGTTCATAAACACCACCAACTCCGGCGGTGGCCGGTCCAAGAGACGAGTGGTGGCGTACACGCCATCGACGATCTCCGAAATCACCCTTAAGGCATTAGGTCCGGAGGAACAACCCATGTCGGCAATGCCCATCCTCTCAGGCCAACATGTGCACAAAATTTTCACAATGGCTTTCTTTGTTGATGCCTCTCCACAAGAGATAATTGTATTCTACAAAGGAAAATTTGTCATATATATATTTAGTCTTTCTTTTCTGATAAGGAATATGTTCTGAGTATTTTTGATAGAAAACATATTCTTGATATGTAAGAGGAAATAAATTAACCTGAACGGAAGAGTTCATGGCGTAGCTAGTTTCGCCTACGCCTTTGTTCATGTGAAGTAGTTCCAAGGTTTCCATTTCTTTCCTTCGTACTGTTTGCATGGTAACAGTGTAGAGTGTTATTACTGTGTGTTGGAGTTGAAGATGCAATGAAAAGGAAGAAATGAAAAGTTGTTGACTACAGTGCTTCGTTGTACGAGAGAAAGTGTTGTAAGAGGAAGGAGGAAAAACTACGAGTATAAATAATAGTCGGTCATGAAAACTTACCAAGAATAGCAACCATACAAAAGAGATAGAGATGACAACTTGGTCCTACACGTACCCGAATGACATTTCAAAATATGATTTTCACCTTTTTTATACGGTTTTTTATTTTCTTTCAAATGTTTCTTTTTCTATATAACTTTTATGATTTTCTTTCTCTTTTCATTTCATCACACGATACTGTGAAACAATTTTAAAACATTTATTTCAATCTTTTATTAGACCTAATTCATTTTCATTTCTGCTTGATATTAATATTTTGGTCGAGTTTTGTATTTATAAATTTAATTGAGTTTAATTATTAATAAATGATAAATTTCAAATTTTCTCTCTTTTTAAAATTTTCAATCTCCTTTATTTTTCATCTTTAAAATACAAAGTATTTTATTTAATATTTTATTGGTCATGAATTTGTTCACTTCACTTAGTTAAAAGACTAAGTATCAATTTATATTTTTAAGTTTTTTTTGTCTCAACTTTTCTCGTATCACATAAATTTCTATGTGAGGCATCATTTTACAAGAATTATGATATATTAATAATCCATGTATATTTATTTAATAATCACTTTTAGATTTTTATATTATTATTTATCTATTTTTTTATTTTTAAAAAAATAATATTTAAAAATTATCTATAAGATATTTGAAAAAAAAAACTAGGGTGTCAAGAATACTTTTTATCCGCATGCAAAATATCTAGAGGTATCAAAGTGAACTCACCTGGCTTGTACACGTTGAGTTGAAAATAGATGAGGTTAATCATACTCATCTTATGGTGAATCATAAATTTTCTAATCCGGTTCAACCTATTATGGGTTGATAGATTTGGTGGGGTGACTCACTTACCAATATTTATTTTGTTGTACTTTATTTTATTTTTTTTAATAATCATAACTGAATCGCGGAACTAAAACACAATGATGTATTTTGTTGTATTTTATTGTACTTTAATTTTTTAATAAAACACAATGATGCAAAAACATGACAAATGTTGTGATGAGATTAAAATGTGACAACATTGTGATGCGATTAAAATTTGACAAATACTATGATGTGATTGAAACGTCATAAAGGTAATAGTGCAACTGAAGCACAATGTCGTGGTGACGCGACAAATGCAGTGGTGCGACAGACATCATGGCGGGACAAACGTTGTGATGCGACTGAAATGTTGTGACGTGGTGACATGACAAATGTTCACTACTAGAAAATATACTTTCAACGTCGCTGTTTAACGTCGGTTACATCTTAGCCGACGTTGAACATGCTTTTCAACGTCGGTTGGTCACCAACCGACGTCGAAAGTCGAATTTTGACTCATTCTACGTCGTTTTAGCATGCACGACGTGGAAAGTAGGCTTTCGACGTCGGTTATGCCCTCACCCGACGTTGAAAACCCTTCTAAACTCGTTTCAATCGATTAAAAACACGTTTCAATCGATTAAAATCTCTTAAAGGGTCAGGATGATCGATCAGAATCCAGTTATGACCGATCAGAACTATTTTAATCGATTAAATCTCGTTTCAATCGATTAAAACATATGACTGGAAATGAATCTCGTTTCATTATGACCGATCAGAATACAAATATGACCGATCAGACTCAAATGTGATCGATCAGGTTTTGATTATGAGCGATCAAAGTCTTTTCAATCGATTAAAAACAGGTTTCAATCGATTAAAATGTCTTAAAGGGTCAGGATGATCGATCAGGATCCAATTATGACCGATCAGAACTATTTTAATCGATTAAATCTCGTTTCAATCGATTAAAACATATGCATGACTGGAGATAAATCGAGTTTCAACGTCGGGTATGTATAACCGACGTTGAATTCCCAAAATCAACGTCGCTTACATGATTTACCCGACGTTGAATGTCCTATCTAAGGCTCGCGCTTATTCAATTTCTTCTTCGTCCCACATATTCCCTCCTTCTGCTTCTTCTTCGCTGTGCCTCAGTCGTCACTGCTGCCCCCTCGCCGCCCCCTCGCCGCCCCTTCGCCGCCCCCTCGCTCGCCCCTCGCCATTGCTACCTCATTCGCTGTTGTCTGCTGCCCACTCACCGCCCACTCGCCGTGCTCCGCCCTCGCCGCTGCTACCTCCTTCGCCGCCCACTCGCCGCGCTCTCATCAGGTTAGATTAAGTTGTATGGATGATTTACAGCATGCATTTAACATAAATATGGATTATTTAGAGCATTTCCTGCGTATGAACATTAGAAAGATGATGGATGATTTTGTATATATTTGATTTGATCTAGGTTCGTTTAGGTTTCGAAGTGGTATATGGAACATTAGGTTTCGTTTAGGTTTAGGTTTAGGTTTAGCTTTCGAAGTGGTATATGGAACATTAGAGCATTGTTAGGCAATGTACACGTTTTTTTTGTATTGTTTTGTTAAACCTTTTCTAATAAACCTTGAATATCTAGGCAAGCCTTCTTGTGTAGTTAGATGGATCAAACTTGGGTCAATGCAAGTCGTATGTCGAAGAGTATGAGAATGGAGTTGACTCCTTTTTGAAATTTGCCGAACAAAATGCTCCCAAAATGAATGGAAAAATCTACCGCCCATGCGTTAATTGTGTAAATGGCGAGTACAAGAGATGGACACAACGCGGAGCATCTTATTTGCGATGGGATGATGAAGAATTACACCATATGGACATGGCACGGTGAAGTGGTTGATATTCCAACAAGTATCACAAACTATTGAGGATGATGTAACCTGCGAAGATCGAATAGAGGACATGCTTTGTGATGTGGGTCAAGAGAGGTTTCTTGAAGCACATGCATCTATATATGATACATTGAGGACCGATTCGGAGACACCTTTGTATCTCGGATGTACAACTTTCACACGGTTGTCATCTCGTGTTAAGATTGGTCAATCTAAAAGCAAAATTTGGTTGGAGTGATACAAGTTTTAATGAATTACTCCAACTTTTGAAGGAGATGCTCCCGCACAATAACACCTTGCCGGACCGTATGTATGAAGTGAAGAAGATACTATGTCCGATGGGTTTAGAATATAGGAAGATACATGCTTGCCCTAATGATTGTGTGTTATACAGGAAAGAATTCTCATCTTTAGACCAATGTCCAACATGTGGTGTATCACGTTACAAAGCGAAGGATGGTGATGATTATAGTCAGGAGAGTGGTAAAAAACGTCCTCCTGCAAAAGTTTTATGGTATCTTCAAATTATTCCAAGATTTAGGCGGTTGTACGCTCACGAAGATGCCGAAAATTTAATTTGGCATTCAAAGAGAAAAACATGTGATGGGCAAATGCGACATCCATCCGACTCTCCCCAATGGAAGAATTTTGACCGTCTATTTCCAAGTTTTGGTAGTGATGCAAGAAACCTTAGACTTGGATTAGCAACAGATGGGATGAATCCTTTTGGAAATTTAAGTAGTAACCATAGTTCATGGCCCGTTTTATTGATGATTTACAATCTTCCACCATGGTTATGCATGAAGCGCAAATATGTCATGTTGTGTATGATGATTTCAGGTCCAAGACAGCCAGGAAATGACATAGATGTGTATTTGAGTCCTTTGATAGAAGACTTAACACTATTATGGGAGGAAGGAGTAGATGCATTTGATGGGTATCGGCAACGAAGTTCAAGTTGCATGCAATGTTATTTTGCACCATTAATGACTTCCCTGCCTATGGAAACTTGAGTGGGTATAGTGTGAAGGGGCATTATGCTTGTCCTATTTGTGAAGAAGAGACCAGTTATATACAATTGAAACATGGAAAGAAGACAGTTTATAACAGTGCACAAAAAATTTCTCCCGCATGACCATCCATACCGTAGACCGAAGAAAGCTTTTAATGGCATACAGGAGGATGAAATTGCCGGAGAACCACCGACCGGTTTAGAAGTTTACGATCGAGTGAAGAACATAAGCATTACATTTGGAAAGACCCAAAAAAGGTCTTCTGACAAGAACATGTGGAAGAAGAGATCAATTTTCTTTGATCTTCCATATTGGAGCCATTTAGAAGTACGACATTGTATTGATGTTATGCATGTGGAGAAGAATGTATGTGATAGTCTCATTGGCACATTGTTAAACATTCAAGGAAAGTCAAAGGATGGGATCAAAGCACGTCAAGACCTTTGTGAGATGGGAATACGTCCTGAATTACATCCAAGGCCTCGAAGGCAATAGAACATATCTACCACCAAGCATGTCACACCTTGTCAAAGAAGGAGAAACGTAGTTTATGTCATTGTCTTGCAAGTATTAAAGTGCCACAAGGATACTCTTCAAATATTAAGAGTCTTGTATCCATGAAAGATCTGAAGTTAATTGGATTAAAGTCCCATGATTGTCACGTTTTGATGCAACAGCTTGTTACCCGTGGCTATACGTAACATATTGCCTAAGAATGTTAGACATGCCATTATGCGACTATGTTTTTTCTTCAATTCTATTTGTGCCAAGGTTATCGATGAAAAATCACTAGATGAGTTGGAAAATGAGGCTACGGTTGTGCTATGTCAATTGGAGATGTATTTTCCTCCATCATTCTTTGATATAATGATTCACTTAATCGTTCATGTTGTGAGGGAGATACGAATTTGTGGGCCGGTTTATTTGAGGTGGATGTACCCAATTGAGCGATACATGAAGATCTTCAAAGGGTATTCTAAAAATCCATATAGACCCGAAGCTTCAATTGTTGAGCGGTATATTGCGTAAGAAGCCATAGAATTTTGTTCAGATTACTTGGCAAGAGTCGTACCTGTGGGTGTACCTAGAAATCGTCATGATGATAGGCTAAATGGTAAGGGAACTCGTGGTATTAGAATTCAAAC